TGGAGGAACAGAAACAACCCCAGTTTCATCATGGTAATGTGAACATTTATTTTGTCTCAAAGCTTTCATAAGTATTTAAATCAACACAGTAATCAACTATTTAATTGCTGCAATCTGTAAAAATATACAAAAGCCGTAAATAAACTTCTCCCACTCCACCTGCACACTTTGGTACACTGACTCCTGTCTAAACACCTTCCTGGAGACAAATAAACATGGCATTATTCTGAGGGTAGAGAGGGGAGAAGGGTCTTACAGAGTGCTTTATGCTCCAGGAACAGCAGTGTCTTCTGTTCTTAGGCTCTGTGTGTTTAATTTTCTAAGGAAACAGGATCATTTCTTCATTAGCTGTATTCAAGTCATCTTATTTTCCAAATGTGCCCATGGGCTCTGACAGAAAAATGCTACAGCTCTTGCAAGCTGATTAAGGATATTGTTTCAGTTAGTGACCACCTGGTGTGTCAGCTCCTTTCTTTTGCCCTTGGGTTTCAGCATCCAGTTCATGCTTTTATGTCTGGTACTTCTACTTAATAAAAAGACAGGTAAAACCTCATGTTTTCAAATTCAAACATTCCCCACTGTCATTCTACACAGCAAAATTGTCTACCAAACACAAGCCCATTGAGATGCTCTTGGCACATGTATTTCTAGGTAACAGATTGCTTATATTACTATGAAAAATAGCCTTGTACTCCTGTTTCTCGATAACCATTGCTTTAAATCTCCCTGTCTCTCTGAGTACCTCTCAGGTATGCCCACTATAATTTAGAGGAACCCTTGACTCCCTTCTCTTGCCACTGCTTGTGTAGGTTGAAGGCTGTGCCTCCTTGAGTCTCAGTTGAGGAGAGCCACTTCCCTGCCTCACCTGAGTGAGCCAAAAAGGCTGCCTCTCCTCTGTTGTTTTTAAGTCAGATTGTTGTGTTGGAGCTGTATGTGGGGCTCTCACTGCAGCATTACGTTCTCATTTCCTTTCTAGGGCAGCATGACATCCACAGAGCATGCTCTCGCCAAGTGCTACCTTCCCTTCGAGGACACGGTTCTGATCACATACTGTGGAGCAGCTGGGTTCCTTGTGGTTCTCATGTTCTTTCACTTTGGGCTTTTAGCCTCACCTTTTCTTTTTGGTTGGCAGCTGCTCAGAAAATTTAAGACAATGTGAAGAGGAGAATTTTTGCATTTAGTAATAAATATCAAAGCCAAAGAAACTGAACTTTGGGCAATGCTCATGTGAGATGGGACCAAAGTAGGCTGTCTTTATGCACATCATAGAAATTCTAAATCATTGATGCAAGCTACTGTAGAATAAATAGTTGATTAAACTGTTCTCATGCTATAAAAATGGAACATGTACTCTACGACAAGTCTATTTTCTCATTTTATCAAATATATGTTAATCAAAGATTGTATCTGTACAATATATAAACACTATTAATGTCATCACTTGCATGCACTAGACAGTCTGTCCTTCCCCAGGATGGAGCCAGCAGCCCTGGAGCACACTCGAGATTGGGTGTACACAAACCAAACACTGGCTTTGCTTTTGTCCTTTTCCAAAATCATTCTCAAATTCCTATATATTATAAAGCTGTACACTGAAAATAAACGTACAGATGCTACAAGCAGGAATATATTGTTTATACAGACTTTTGTACTTCTGGGCTGAATTAATGGAATCAGATTTTTAGATAAGTGTAATTTTCTCTCCAGCAGATCAAGTTATTAAATCTGAATTTAATGCCTGCGAAGAAAGAAACTTGAAAAATGGACTTGGAAGTGGCATTTGGCATTTAAAAATAAATGCCTTGATAATTTTAAGCCAGACAAAATGTATTCTTTTTGTATTTTTCCTATGAGTCTGGCTCTTTCTTCAATCAAACTTTTAAATAGGAAGTTTAGTAATAGGGGAGTTGTCGAATAATAATGCATGTAACAATATACAACTTCATTTTTTTGTGTATGTTTGTGGGGGTGTATCTTCAGTTTTTATTCATGTTTTCTTTTGAAAATGCAATGTAAACTGAAAATAAATTCTATTTCATATGTCTCCGTTCAACTGAGTTTTATGAAACAGTTAAGGATGAGGGGAGCAGTAATTCAGTAACAATGAGATAAACCATGTTTGTTGTATTGATCGTCTGTAGAGTTGTCATCCTTTCTTGGAAAAGTAGTAGTATTTAAAATTGCATAAGTTTATAAAGGATAATAAAGTGCTGATTATATTATAAACTTTAAAATACTCAATGAATACTAAAAGCCTAAAAGGAAATTAGTGAAATAATGTATGCTAAGCTGTCATTTCTCTGGATTTCTATTGTTGAAATATAACTTCAGATATCTTTACTATTTATCTTTTACCTAAGGAAACTACCCTCAAAGCTGTGATTGTAGATCGAATATGAAATGTCCCTGCTACATAGATTCTTGCTATTTATACTGAGGCTGCATTTGCAGATCTTTCAAGCTTGAGAAATAGCTATATAATTTGACTTTATATTTCAAATAAAGGTTAACTATTGTTTCTTCTTCAAAAGGAAGATGTCATCCTTTGAGTCTCCTAGGCAGACACAAATATTGACACCCATTAGTCTTTTTCTTCCTATTTGTTGACAGTGGAACCTGTGGTCAAGTGGGTGGTTCAGAAGCTTTGACAGTGGGAATGGTTGACCTGTTCCCACTCAGGGAACTTGTAAAAGTCTTTAAAATAGCAAAATAATCGAAAAACATTGTCTGGAGAGAAAAAACATCCTTGGTTCCCTGAAAGAAGGTTGTGATGTTACTATGACATTGTTTATAAGATGTGGATGATTAACTTGCATCATATGTGTATATATGTTTAATCAAGGAGTATTTTTAAAAGTACCAACCTGATAAAATATTCTAAATTCTAATTACCATTTCTTACCTTTTTCAGAGGAAGCGGCAGATAATGTTGACATTTAGCTGTTCAGCACAGTAAAAACACATTTCTTTTACAGGTATAGCCATAAGCAAGGCACAAAGATCTGCAAGAAGTTTTCTTTAGTAGTTGGTTATACAAAATAATATTACATTTTGTGGTCTGTACAGTATTATAAACCAGCAATAAAACAACAACAAAAGAATATATGAAAGGAGACTATTGCCCAAGTGTAGTGAAAGTCTAGAGAATCATTTTTAAACGGGACAAACTTTGCAGTAATGAATGTGGTAGGTTTTCTGCCAAAATGTAAAAGGCTCAAAGTAGCTCTAATTCAAATGCCTGAGGCTAGCAGCGACTTTAAATATTATTGAAAAAAGGTTTTCTCTCCACTCTGTGGCTTGGGCCTGCTCTAAGTCTTGGGCCAGTGCAACTCAGAACGGGTGGCCACTTGTCCCCTACGGCTTCTTAAAACTAGAACCGGAAAGCACAGTAGCTCACCGCATTACACGTGTGCCTCTACTATCATGCTTGATAGCGTGGGAAAAAGTGTGTTTCTCCCCCACCTGTAAAGTTCTTGATGAATCAGTAAATTACTGAATGAATGGATAAAAGGGGTGCCCACCCAGAGAGATTTCACTGCAGTGTCACCCAAGTGAGAGTGGACGGTTTGCAGTGACACAAATTGGTGGGGGTGGCGAGGCTGTGAAAGGTCATGTTCAATGAAAAGAAAAGCTACCTACCAAACCTGAGGGGAACAGAGGTAGCCAGAGGCTTGGTGGTCACACATGGAGCTGACACTGAGCAGGACACAGAGGGCAGCCAGATGACACTGGGGAACTCACTACTTTGTACCACGGTTTGGGGCTGACAGGCAGTCCGGGAATGGAAGGGGCAGCTGATTGAGGAGAGAAGGCGCGCTCAGGGGCCGGGCCGCCTCACAGGAGCTCGTACTGTTTGAGGTGCATCCTCTGGATGATATCGCGGCAGTCATTGAACACCCTGCGGATATTCTCCGTGTCCACTGCGCAGGTGAAGTGCGGGTAACAGTAGTGTTTGCCGTCCCCTGTTGCCGTGCTGATCCTCTGCAAAAAACAAGGTATCTGCACTTCTGGGCCCTGGCCCCTGGGGGCATGTGGGAATGCCGCCTCCACCCCATTCATTCTTAGAGAAGGTTTTAGGCAACACTGATCAAAGACTAGAGAGCTCGGGGTGTTTAACATGGAAACACAGCCATAGGGAGTGTCTGTCTAAATACTGAACGCGCTGCTGGAAACCGGAAGAAACTTTGCTCACCTCCTGCCCACAGAAGTTTAGAATTTAGTTGAGATGGGACGTATATTTAAAAGACAAGCACAGAAAGTAGAATTCAGGGTAGTATTTTCTGGAAATGAAGGTCTAAGCCAGAGGCTTCCAGTGGAACTTTCTGCAGTAATGGAAATGTTCTGTGTCTGCCCTGCCAGTAACGTAGCCACTATTACTAGCTGATACAACAGAGAGATTGATTTTTAGTTTTCTTTAATTTTAATTAATTTGAATTTAAATATCCACAGATGACTAGTGGTTCTGTACGGGTAGCACATCAGCCATGCTACTCCCTCCTTCACATAGAACTTCAGCGTTTCCTAGGTGTCCCCTGTTTAGCAGTGGAAGGTTCGTGGGTGTTTCGAAAGAAAAGTGCTCTGTGGCCAAATAACTGAGAAACACTGAATTAAAATAAACATCATGTCATGATTTGTGAGGATATCTTGGAGCGACATGCTCATGGGCATTGTAAAGCTAAGTGGGGCCTAGTGGAGAGAGGCTATCTTGGGTTAAATTCTGTCCCCTTCCCCATTCATATTTTTCAGTCCTAACCCCCAGCACCTCAGAGTGTGACTGTGGTAGGAGCTAGGGTCTTTAAAGAGGTAATTAACTTAAAATGAGGCAATTAGGGTGGGCCCTAATGCAGTAAAATGAGTGTCCTCACAAGAAGAGATAAGGGCATAGACGTAGAAGGAAGACCATGTGAGGACACAGAGAGAAGATGGACATCTACAAGCCAAGGAAAGAGGCCCCAAGAGGAACTGACCCTGGCAACACCTTGATCTCAGACTTCCAACCTCCAGAACTGTGAGAAATACATGTCTTCTGTTAAGCCACTCAGTCTGTAGGACTAATGCAGGGATCATATGGAACTTTCTTCACAGGTACCCACAAAAATCCCTGGATGTCTTCCTCGTACCCCCACTCCCACCCCCTTTTTTTTCTGCAAAGCATCTTGGGAAACAGCCATTGGAGAAATGCGGGGACTCTTGCAAGGAAATTGTGAAAATGCTCATCACGTTATAAAACTCCTCTTAGGAGGAGAGCCTTGTTTTTAGCAATAGTCGGGCTTCTCTTGAACAATTAAAAATGTTTTTTAAACTTATTGATGCTGAAATAGGTAGGTTATATATCTTTTTAGTCCAAAAGAACCAGATGAGATATGTGGCACACAGAGTAAGTGCATAGTGAATGAATGAAAATGGGCTTCCTTCTGTAGTAATCTGACCAGTTTGTCTCTGACTGGAGCAACAGCAATTTAAGGAATGGAGTCATTACAAAGGTGGTTGCAGTTTGCAAACTTCAGTTTAAATCTTGAAACAAACCGGTTTTTATTAAAAATGATAGAAAGAAACTCACCGAGGAAAACTGGACAATTCCAGACTCTGCTTGGCTAGCTTACCCAGCTGCTGCCCAACTTTCTGAGGCCCTCTTTTACAAGATAATGTTCAAGAAATCTGAGAGGAGCTAGTAAAATACGAGGACGATAACCCAGAAAACACGCAGGCTTTTAAGAGCATCAAGACACGGGGCTGACCTCACACTTACTACCTTCTGTTTTAAAAGGTTTGGTAATGCTGATTCTGGAGAAAATTCTGGCCCAGGTCTGGGCTTAGGCTTGCGGGTCATTTCCAATTTGAGGGACAGGGCTTGTTGTTGAGACTGGGGGGCACTCTGGGGGCTGACCACTTGGCCCCAGTTGAAAAGAGGACCCAGTATGAGTCCTGGTGTTCCACACTCTGCTGAAGGACTCTTTCGTTTTTGGAAAATAGAACAAGTGACAGGGTCTGGCTTGTCTCAGTGCTGTTCTTTCTTGGAAGCTATGTGACCTGAGGTGAGATGACTAACCTCTCTGAACCTCGGAGTGCTCAAGCTATGGGATGAAGTAACAATACCTTCTCTTGTCTCTCATAATTTGAGGGGAGAGTGAATGAGATCATGATAGGATAAGTAACTTGAAAGTTGCAAAGAACAATATAACTCTAAGGTGGTAGGAAAACAAAGGTTAAAAAAATTGCTTACCAAAAACAGATCCCTGATAAAGAACTTTGCTCTTGTAACTTTGGGATCTTCTCCCGCATCTGGTGTTGCTGTAGAAATTACAAATAGAGTTTTAAGTAATGTGAAACAGAGATATAACTCTATGGAAAGCATAAAACAAATTACAGAGTTAGACTCTAGTATACTCACAGCATTAAACTCAGTATGGCAAAGCCAAGAGCTAAAATGTCACTTTCATTTTTCTTTTCTCCTCCCAAATCTTTTAATTTTAACAGAGCTCTGATAAAACTTTTTTTTTTTTTTTTGCATGCTGTAGTGGACATTTTGGAGGTAAGCTCTGCAGAGCTTGAGTATTGATGGGATAGGGTGAGGGGATGGGGGCACTGGTGACTGGGAAAGTTAAAGAAGACTTGGTTGCTGGGAGACCGGTAATCCAGCAGCAGAGACACAAGTGGTACTCTGAAGATTTCCCTCGGACAGCCTAGCTACCTTAGCCTAGCTACCTTAGCCTCGGAAAGCATACCTCAGACTGGCTGAGGTTAGTGCACAAAGGACTACAAATTCTCTTCTTCTTTTTTTTTTTTTTAAGGCGAGGCAGCCCTTGGTTTACCTCACAGATTGCAAGGAACTTGTCAGCTAACAATCCCTTATTATTTTTTTTTAATTTTTATTTTTTATGCCTACAGCACCTGGTCTTCCTAGGTGGTCTCCCATCCAAGTACTAACCAGGCCCAACCCTGCTTAGCTTCCGAGATCAGACAAGATTGGGCTTGTTTAGGGTGGCATGGCCATAGACTGAATTCTCTTCTTAACTAAAGTTTCTAGGAAAGTCTCTTTCATTCTGCTTTATAGAGTTTGGGATTCAAATTTAAGAAGTGGTGTTATTTTGCTGTAAAGAAATCCATTCTATAAGCCTCTGGTGGCCCAGTGTCTACTCAAAACTGAAGAGCAGCAGTTGGAATTGGGATTATTTCCTCTTCTGGGTTTGCCCAAATGGGACCTTCCTGGCTTTAGCACAGAGAGTCCCATGTCCCAGGAATCCCCACAGATGGTTGGCCACCCTAAAGGCAATTGCCATTGTAGCCAAAGACATTGCTGGAGACAGAGAGGTAAACACGGTGGCTGAAAGTATAGGCTCGGAGAAAAGGGTTCAAAGGCTGCCTTGTCCTCGCAGGCTCCACCTGAGTGACCTTGAAAAAGTGACTTCACCTCTCTCAGCCTCACTTTCCGTAGGAAAATGTGAGAATAACAAAAGCTCCCTCATAGAGTTACTGGGAGGGTTCAGTGTAAAGGTCAATGTAAAGGGCCGACATGGGCCCAGTTCACAACAGACCCAGCTGAGGCACCCAGAGGCAGAATTTACCCCAACTAATGAGTATGTGCACCTCAAACTGCCCTTTCTCTAAATGCACAGTTTGAATGGAAAGCCAAACTGTAATCAAATGGAATCCTACATAGGACATTTTAATATTCTAGTACTTTAGGATGGGGCAGTAGTCGAGAGGATTGATTTAAAGTACTTGAATTCCCTAGATTTATCAGAACTGTTTGAATAATAGTTACAGGACTATTGAAAGAATAATTAAGTCTTTTCCTTAATTGGGACAAACTTGTTTTGAAATCTTACCATCTTCGGGAACTGTATAATTTGCATATTCTGGAAAATAATCCTCGATTTTTGATTTTCCCGCCAAGACTTTTTCTGCCAGCATATCTTGTTTGTTTAAGAACAAGATGATCGAAATAGTCCGTAACCACCTGAAAAGGAGAAATAAAGATACAAATTTCACATCCAGTATATGGGAAAGAATATCTAACATAGGAGGAATTCAGTGAAAAGGACATTGCCATCTTCTTGACAATATTTAGCATTATTTGATATACCAATATCTCAGTCCTCCCCTCCCCGTCCAACTGCCAGCTAGGCATTCTTATAATGATAAACATAGGTAGTTGATTTAGCAGTTTAGCACTTTGTAACTCATCTTCACTGAGGATATAGATTTACTGGTAGCAAAGCTAAGGTTTGCTTAGGTAATAAATACACTTGGATTTTGGTGGTGTAATTTACTAATAAAGGGTCAGAAAACTAGATGTTAATGTGTTAACAACAAGAGCTAATCACACAGAACATAGTTTGTGGCTGGCCTGGTTCTCCTGCCTAGTCTGAACAGGTCCGAGGTTCTCCAGCTGTGGAACAGGATATGAATCAGATCTAAATCCAGATCACTGCACTGGACATGACAAGCTAAGGGGAAGGCCTCAGGTATAGTGAAGGTGCAGGATGGGAAGTTCTCTGTTTCATCAAATAAATTCTGAGAACTGGTTTAACACAAGTTTAATGTGCACATTAGCAAAGCCTTTGGAAATTCCACTATGTCAAAAGAATCAAGCTGATGATTAGTGCACAGGAATCTTACTACGAATTACAAACACAATCTATTCTCCCCACAAATGGAAATAGCCTTATGGTTTCTTCTACTTATAAAATACATAGTCCTTATAAAAATGAATTTTTATTAGAAAAATTAGAAAAATTAATACATAGAAAAACAATCAAATGTAATTACACCCAGAGACAACTACTATTAGAATTTTTATGTTTTTACTTCCTTTTTTTCCTACCCTCACACATTTATCATATCTATAAAAATAAGTTCATGGTGTTTTTAAATCTGCCTTTTCATTTAACAATATTGTAGTCATTTTCCCATGCGGTTGTACATGTGTGTATATATATGTTTTTAATGACTCCAACGTATTCCTCTGTAAAGCCAGCATTTCCTTACCCTTTCTTTCCCATTAACTGTCTTAATACTATAGAACTGAGAGCAGTTGTTGGACACTTTGTAGAGAAATACTTTTCTGATAACCCAAACCTTTTGCAATGTCAGCTTATGTTTTCATCCTCCTTGGTGCTATTCTTTAGAGGAAACTTTGACTTTTAACTATATGTGTATGTATTGTGTGTGTGTGTGTGTGTGTGTGTGTGTGTGTTTGCAGTTGAGAGAGAGAGATGTGTGTGTGTTTGCAGTTCTGCCCCTGTGTAGTACTAGCAGTTTCAAACGTAATTATGCTGTGCTTAAATCTAACTGATCTTAGGGACTATCTAGTTAAATGTGAATGTTTAAAATTGGTACTTTCCAAATTTTGAAAACAAAACAAAATCAAATTTGAACCGTAGGTATACCCTTAGGCTTTCCAAGATTTAAATTTTCCTGATAAAGCACTACCAGAGTTCTATCAAGGAATAGTCCCCATGTTAAGTCTGTTGATACATGAGATGGACTAAAAGAGATACTTCTTATGGTTTTGGATTTATTGGTAAGGAAAAAATGTATCTGGAGAATAAAAATAAAAGTGAGCTGAGTGGTATTTTTAATAAAATAAAATTGGCAATCCAGTGATGACACCAAATTTATTATTTTTATAACCTGTTGTTCCAAATGCTTTCGAAAAGGTCCAGGGACTCTCTCAGCCTGTTGGTGTTGTTATCTTCCCGAATCACCATGTTGTAGCTACTGCAAGCTGCGACATAAATGATAGCGGTGACGTCTTAGTGGGAGAAGAGAGAAAAAGTTAGTTAGACCAATGGTCATTGTGGGGTTATGATAAAGTACACATCCAATGTCTATCCATTTCCAGGGAAATTATCATTCTGTGATTATAAGAATGACTTGAATCAGCACTGTGCATATAATTGGTTGTTCAATAATGTACCTGACCAGGAGTCTACTCATATTAGAGAATGATAAATGGAAATTCGGGATGCTTAAATTCCTTATTTATGAGATTCATACTTATGGCATTTCATAGATGATATCATTCAAAGCTACTTAAACATAGTAGTAGAAATGAGTGCGAGAATTCATCCCATATTCTTGAGAGAACACAGAAATCACCATTAAAGCACTGGATCCATTTTCTTCTCTCGTCCCTCTGGCCACCAACATCAAACATGCTGTGGAAGGACAACAGAACAACAATTATTTGAGGTGCAAGGACACAACAGAGGCTTCTGTGCTTTTCTCTGTTGCTGTCTGGCCTGTAGCACTGCTTCCCGTGGGATCTCAGCACACTGTTGGGGCCCAGCCCAGGTTCTGCACCAGCTCACTTGGTCATTTGACCAATGCACACTTGGTCATTTCTCTGGTCACAGCCCTCGCCCCAAGGTCATCAGGTGGCTCGGGGCTCACTTCTCGGGGCAGCCTGCTCAGTGCATCCCTCTGCCTGAGTTTCTGGCTGCAGTTTCTACCTACCCCAATGCCTCAGATCTCTTTTACCCTTCCAGGCATCTCAGGTCTTGGATTCCGCCCTTCCCTAAACTTACTGCCTGTACTTCAGGACCACACAGTCTACATTTACTTATTCAAAAGGATGATGATGTACTTTTGGGATTCCACTCCCTGAAGCCCCAGGGCTGTGGGTGGTAGCTAGGTCTCCAGGTCCCACACCCAGTAGAGCCCCAGTGGGCAGCAGGGAGAGCTTCCTGCCCACACCCCCATGGCAGGCCTGCTCTCAACAACACACTTACTGAAAGTTTACTTTGTCCACTTGGAATCGGGTCTCGAAAATCCCTGATGTCAGAACTCTGCATCTGAGAAGGTCCTGAGGGCAAGAAGAGAAAAACAAAGTGATATCACTGTCCCCTTTCATAAGGAAAGCCCTGGATGTAACCATAATAATTGAGTTTTTCAAATAGCAATTTCTTCCATTACAAAAGCATCTCAAGGGCCTGGAGTGTTAATTAGAATAATGTGGTAATTAAAAACTTAGGCAAATGCATTCTGTCTCATCTTCTATCTCACACCCTCTGAGAAAGTTACAGTTAATGTACTGGTTTGGTCTTAGAGACTTTAATAGCTGTGCTTTTATTTTCTTTAGAACTTTTAAAAAATTACTGATGAATGTTGCCCACTGACTATCATGCTGTTGACAACCAAATCACATGCTTAGTGTTCTGGGGAGAGACACTGCCAGTGATCTCCTGCTAGACTGGAGAGCCTTCTGCGGTGGGTTCAGAGCCATTTGGGTTAGAAAGCAAAAGAAGTGTAACTCAACATTCACGGATCTTGGATTTTTTTGGACTGGATGCTAGCTGATTTTAGATTTCCTCTCGTCTCTGCATACTTTTATTCTCTCTAAGATAAAAGATGATGAGGTCTGGAAGGGAAGAGAAAGCCATAGTTTTACAAAGCTGATGGTATTTTTTTCTGATCAGAGATCCATTATGATGTTAATGAAACAGACACTGCAGTCATTCCGGAAGCTGGGAGGCTGTCCCCTCCTGTTAGCCTGAGGAGAAGTGTTTAGGACAGCCTCGAGGGATTGATTTAAGACTAGGAAGTCTCCACTGCTCTGTCAGATGATTTTGAGCTCTTGGAGTAAGCCTCAGAGAGAGATGGACTTCCAGGGAGAGAGAGTTCAGTCCTCCAGGAGGGTCAGAGAAGAAAAAGCCTCCAGGAGGGGCCCACAGCCAGGGCCCTCCAGGGGACACAGACACTGGGGAATGATGGAGAGGCGGTTTGAATAGAGCCCCGCTGGTTTGAATAGAGCCCCACTAACTTTCTTGGAATTCACTAGATCTAGAGGCATCTGGGGGTTCCTAAACTGAGCAATTCAAGGTTCTCTAAGTCTCTGCAGATGCCCAAGTGTCAAAGGTTTTGGGGGGCACAGAATGTCCCTCTCTTGCTACTCACAAATGTGCAATGGGACACTTTTCTCCAGCTTAATCCAAAGGCGACACAGAGGGTCACACCTGGAAAGTGTGCTGTTGTGTATTACCCAGACCAGGGCCAAAAGCAGAATGAGCAGGGTTTATGAAGCTGGGGAAGTAAAGATTTAGTTCTCTGTTGACAGCTCCAAGAGGAATGGAAATTTCTTAGTCCTATTCCACAGATAAAATTATTTCAATATCGGGAATTTAGAAATCAAGCAAGTTTTAGAGAGCTAAGTCCATGGGCCAACTAACAGGGCATGGTAACACACCACATGTGCATGTGGGGATAGTACAATTTGAAAGAAGTAGTTTTTTAAGAATTTTTTTCCTTAATCCATTTTAAAGTAATCATTGAATAATAGTGGCAATTTCTCTAACCTCACAAGTTCCCCATGGGTGGCCACAGCTCTAACTTCACATACCTGGTCTGTCGGGGTGTAGTCCACCAAGCTGACACTGTCGATTCTTTCCAGGAAGCTGAAAAAAAAAGCCAGCAGTGCTCAGAATGTTCTCTGATGACTTTCTCCTGGGCTGTGGGGTGATGTATGGGACAGTCACACACACAGGCACAGGAGGCACAGAAGGACAGAGGCTGAGGGAAGTTCCCATTTTCTTTCCTGCACATGTACCTGTTCAGATAGCATAGCATTCCTGATTGAAGGGCTATGACTGCTTTTTTTTTTTTTTTACCTGCCTTCCCTCTTGTCAGCTGCCATAGGGTTGCAGGTGAGGGGCCATTCAGAAATTGGGAAGAAACACAGGCCTTCTTCCAAGGCTAAGCTAGTAGAGGAAGGCCATGCTGCAAAGTAAATATAAAACTGAAGGCAAGAGCTGTTCCCTTAGGTAATAAGTTCTGAATAAAATCCAAAAGTCATGTGTGAATATGTGTGCCTGTGAGCAGGTTTAATGTGATGTGCACACCTGGCAGAGGTCATAGCCTCATAGGTGTAAGATTGGTCCTAGCAGTCTGATATTTTGCACAAATAGAGGGAGTGAGAAGTGGAGGGAAAGGAAATCACATTGCAGCTGCCCGTGGAAGGAGACACAGAAACAAGGAGTCCTGCAGGCAGGTGCTCTCTCTCCCCTCAGAGAGGCTGCCCTGTACATCTTATCTAAAATAGCACCCATGCCCATCTCCATGCCAACCTTGCTTTATTTTTCCACAAAGCACTTAACATAGCCTGATATGTTTTACATTTGTTAATCTGTTCATTATCTGTTTCTTGCTCCAAAATGCAGGTGAGGGGCCATTCAGAAATTGGAAAGAAACACAGGCCTTCATCTGGTTGGCCCAGGTGCCCCTAGCATCTCACACAGGCCTTGCCTCTGAATATTTATCCGATGAATTAATGTCTGCTCTCTTCCTCTTCCCGAAGCTGGAGGAGGTAAGCGAGCAGGTGGCTGAGAGGCCTAGTCGACAAAGGATACCACAGAGATTTTCAAGACATAGGAAGAGATGGAACTAGTTAACTGGTGAGCAAAGGACCACTTCTGGAGCAAGAGGGGGCAGCAGGGGCTTCAGAAGGGCAGGAGAGCATTTGAGGAGGGAGAGGGGGGCCTCAGTAGTCCATGCTCTCCTGGCTGTGGGTGTCCAAGGGCCAGGGTGAGGCTCCTGCACGAGGGAGAGTGAATGTGACCTAGACTAGAGGGACATGGCCTGGCTTCCCTGCCTATCCAGCCCTAGAAGGTTTGGGTTCCATCACAGGATATTTGAAGTAAAGCAATGATTGGGCCCTCCTCTAAGCCCAAGTGCTTGGGGGCATTTTGTACAGCCCAAGGGAGGTATTACTTTCCATTTCCACCCAGTCTCCTGACCAACTCACACTCTAAGCCCTTGACGTGCTTTCAGCATCAGCAAGAGGGAGGCTGAAGATTCAGTAAGACCCTTAATTTCCTTGACTATCTTCACTCCTTTCTACTGGAAAGCTAAAGACAGCCCCAGTAGCCAGAGATGATGGCCTGGTGCTAGGGTGACATTTTGGCAGCCATCCACGTATTTACCCGTGATTTGGCACAAGGCTCCGCTGCTCCAGAACCAAGGCCTACCTTAGAGCTGCAACAAGAGGCAACCCCCTGGGAGGTAAGCCACCAGCAGAATGTAGGAAGAGGCGGCATTGGAAATGAGGTCATTTCCACTGGAAGACAGGGCCAGTCCCACCAAAGGGGAAGGTAGCTGTGGAGGGTGGTATCTGTAATTGCACTGCCTGCTGTGGCAGTTGTCAAAGAAAGTCAACTGCTCCTGGAGAAGGACTGCAGAGCTATGGCCAGGTGGCAGGGCCATTGAGAGGCCAAAGGGTCCCTGAACAGCCTTGGCCTTTCTGGAGCAGGCATTGTGTGCCCTGGTGGGTGCTGCCGCGTACATACCAGAAGGTGGGTAAATTGGCCCAGGATGCGGAGCTGATACCTGAGAAGGGGTCTGGACAGAGTACAAACAACCCTGGAAATGCCACAGGAGGAGACTGCCAAGGTGGAGGCCTGGTTTGAAATCCACAATTGCAGTTTGGCTCAGTACTTGCTGGCCTTGAATTTGGTGGAGTGGAGAGCACCTCTGAAGTATACACTGAGTTCCTGACCATCTAGCAGGAATAGAGCCAAAAGACTGTGGTGAAGTGAAAGCGGTTTCTGCTCCTGGAAAGGGAGTTCTGGGCATTAATGCAGACAACCAGGCAGGTCTCTGGGGGCGGAGGTAGGCTGCTCCCCACCCCTCTGGGGGCTTTGATAATTTGATTCAGAAATGAGCTGTCCTCTTGGCAGGAGACATAAAATACTGACATGTGACACAGAAACTAATTGCCTTCGATTAAAAGGGCTGGAAGGACTTGAAAATTAAATATGAAGACTTTGGCTATAGTTAGAATTTAGGAAGCAACCAATTTCGTATCAGGATGCAGATAGGGTAGAGGGAGGTGGGTGAATTTATTCAGATGGTAATAACTAGTATAAATGGAAACAATGGAATGTGGTTAAAAAATATCAGAAGTTCCTGATAGATGTGATTAAAGAGTGCCTTCCAAAAAAAGTGGTGGGAGTACCTTCCTGAACGCTGTTAAAAATAAGTGGTTCAGAGATGCCGATGACAGAGCAAAGATGTCAAGTTCCTTTTCCATCCCAAGTCTCCAGGATGGATACTCAAAGAACATTCCAGCTCTGACACTTAACCATCTAAGCGAGACCTGAAAAGCATCAATGAACATTTCCAAAGTATCTTCTGCAGTGTTAATGATGCTGAAAGGTAGTCTGAGTTCATGAATTTCAAGTTTGTGCAATGAAAATAAAATGTGAAAATTCCCCGCTAATGTGAATGTGTTCCCTTTTTCTTTGAAAGGTTCTCTAATGAATAAAGGAATAAAATAAAAATCTACAGTAGTGTATTTCTGCCAGCCTTTAGCCCAAATCTTTGATTCAATCCACATATTCCCCAGCATGTTGTAGAAGTACTTCAAATCGGGGCTCCCAAGATAATATATAGAGAGATGAGTTTAAAGGGTCTCCCAAATCATATACAGAATTTCATAGGACTACATTTTAAAGTAACATCGTCTTCTTAAATATGCCACTGCCTGTTAAGCTAAAATATTAACCAGATTAAAGAATCTCCCTTATAGACCATTCACTCACACTAGATACAGAGTTGCAAGACAATACCAAATTACCATTGTAGAAAAACACCCTCATTATGGACACTATAAAAAAAAGTTAAAAAAGCAATTTACTTTGATTTTTATTATTTCCTGCTACAGCTGAGGATATTCATGTTAGCAGATGCATTTTTATTCTCATCATTTAGATCTTCCTTCTGTTTGATGATATTGGCACAAAACAGCAATTCATTGTTTATTTCTCATCTGCTGTATTCTCACCCACTAAAATAACTCAAGTCACAGAATTCTTAGGTCCATGGACATGATCATGAAAAGGGACAAGGAAGGGATCATGAAATGATGAAAACTATTCTAAGTGCCTTTAAACAACTGGATCTGAGAAAAAGTACCAACTAAATTAAAATGTATTTAACATCTCTTTTGTGAAAAATGTAGCAAGCTGGAACTCTGTCAAGGCAAGTAAAAATGTTTTCTCAGTGTATGATTGACATTTATTTCATGATATAGAAATCTTGCGGAGGGAAAGATGACCTATACAATGACAAAGTACCAGGCAGCTCTAATGTGCAGCAGGGTTAGATCCATGTTACTTAAAAGGCAGTCCTCAGCCCAGCTGCAGCAGCAGCACTGGCAGACCTGGAAATCAGGGTGTGCAGCTGAACATCTCCAGGTTAAGCAGACCCATGTGCACAGCAGAGTTTGAGAAGCACTGCAGTTTCCTCTCCATTTTTACTGTCACCCTACTCTATCTAGGCTCTAATTTTTTTTTCATCTGTACAATATAGGTTCTGATGACTCACGCTCCTGCTTCTTTCCCCAGGGTAAAGTCCACACTTTTAATCTGGCCTCCAAACCATTCACGATCTGCCTGATCTCTAAAAGTTTATTCTAAATCCATGTTAGAACTTGTGCATTTGAAGGCAGGAAAAAAGAAAAGAAAAAAAAGAAAAAGTAAAAACTGTATTAGTAGTTGCATGGAAGATTAACTATTTCCTTGGTATGTTTGAATTGAATCTTTTTGTAAATTGTATCTCTTTCACCTGAGGAAGTTTCAATATGAAAAAGAATCTTGTCAGCATGAAGAAACTGTTACAATAAAGAATAGTTAGGGCTTCCAGAAATATGCATGAAAATTCCATGGTAACCTAACAAATTCAGGTGGTAAGGGTGAGTGTCAAAAAATACCATGCTTTCTGAACCAAATCTACTTTGAATTCTTTTTCCTAAATAGCTTTTTAAACACAATGCAAACTCATCTGCAGGGACATTCAGTTTAAAATGATTTATTTGACAAACTTCCATGGTTTACATTTCAGCATTTCATCAACTGCAAAAATGATGAAATAATTCATGGGCCTAATACACTTTTGAAAATAATATTTATGATTTCTAAAAACATTCATTCATATAGTTTGAAATGAACATTTTAAGAAAATTCAAGCTTATATAAGCATTGTTTAATCTCACAAAATATATTAATATTGTTGGGAATATCTGCACTATAAAAGGGTCTTTAATTTACCAAAGGGTTCGACACTAAGCTATATTTTAAGTTTTAATTTTTTTTCCCGTCTAAAGAGGGGTTATGACTCATGCTGTACTCACACAGTTGCCTCTGTGCAATCGTGTGGATGAGAGGAGACACAAAAAGGGGCAAGTTCTAGAAACACATGGGGCAATTGACAGGTGTCCCTTACAGAGTTCAGAACAACATCCAGTCAGATGTAAAGACACTTAAACATAGGATCAGCTCTCATCTGCATGTATGTTTCCCCCCCCCTTTCCATTCACACTGGAAAACATGTTATAATGAATACTTGGTTATGAATCTTTCAAAGGGCCTGGAAGTCCCTATAATTATTTTCTGAAACAGTGGAATTCTCTTATGGAGAAGTCTTCCAGTGAAGAAAAGGGGATAATTTAACATATTCATAAATATTTCACTTAGATTAACATACTTGCCAGGCAAAAGCAAATCGATGTTCTCCATGTTTTGAGGCTATGAGAAAGTGGTGGGTTGCTACAGGCTTTACTTTTCAGCCAGAAAATACACGCTGCCATTCCAGGAAGATGGAAAGCAGCACATCTGAGTTCTAGCCTTAAGGGGCAAGCCTGCTGTCCAATCCTGAATTGTCTTCCCAGGAGTCCCAGCTGGCTGCATGTATAAATTATTTGCATGGCTAAGTAAAACATTCTAACTTGTACTTCCAAGGTTATTAAAGTTATTTCAAGAACAAAATAATAAATGCAAACAGAACGTAAAATGCTGTTCTAATTTTATTTCTAATTTTGGTTAAAGTCAAAATAAAACCCACACACAGTCCCAGAGTTGTCTCAAAACAATCACAGTTCTTTGGCAATGTTAGAGTGAGTAATATGACTGCCATGCTAATTAACATACTTTATAAGAAGTCTAAGTAAAGTGTTGAAATAGGAAAATAACTAGAAATGTGTTAGAGAACTTCATTTGAAAGAAACTGTTATATGTTAAACGTTGTCTTAAAAAGAACTTCAGTAAATAAAAACACAATTGAATAATTTTTCCTTATAATAAATGGAAGTTATGTGGCATTTTTCCAGTTATAAGACAACTACCACACAAAAAATTTACAGAATTTACATAAACAGTAAAAAGGTATTATGCGAGAACGTCCTATTGTAATTTTAGTGTAAGTTATGAGGACAGATTAATAGTCAACTGTAGTCTCCTTTTGATGGGAAAAAAAGGATACACAGAAAAAGCACTATTAAATAAGTTGAACGAGGTGTTGCTAGTCCTGTAATCAAAGTAATCATTTCCCTCTAATTCTTATGCACGTGTCAATTCCACATATTATTAATTACACCATATTAAAAAAACAACAACACATTCTTCGATTTTGATAATCCGGGCAGAAAACTGAATACATGGGAACTAAAATTTTGATCAAAACTTTGAGATTCATAAACACCAAATTAACTAGTCCTGTTAAAAGGTAGCTATAAAAATACACATCATCACAAGTTATACAGAACTTTAAAATCCAGTTACGAGTGGAGAAAGCCTGGAATTTCTTAATGTGAGTGAGAGAGAGCACTGTAAACCCAAAGGTAGAAGCATTTTAAGAGAATTTCAGCATTCTGGCATTTTCAAAGTTTCTAGTGTATACAGTATCGCTCTAATACAGAGAGCATTTCAGAATGTGGCTACAGCCAGGAAACCTTTGGGTGGGTTCTGTCCTCACACTTGATCTCGCAGGCGGGCGAGTCTCTGGGATAGCTCATCCTGCTCGGCCGAGGCCACGCTGGTGCCCACGGAGCCGGTCTGCCCCTGCGGCAGCTCCATGTTGAGGTCTAGGCCGGCCTCGTCTGCCATTTCCTGGAGCAGCATATCCACTTGGTTCTGCGGAGTGGTCAGCGTCGTCGTGCTGCTCATCGTGTCTTCCATTTGCTGCGTTTGGACGTCCAGCGTCTCAAACTGGTGCTCGAATTTGTCCATCAAGGCAGAGATCTTTTCCAGATTCATGGTTTTCAACGTCGCATCCATGGATTTAACCACCCCGGCCATTGACTTGGTCACCTTGCCCATCGTCACTGCCGTCTGGACTCTGGCAGCCACCGCATCGACCCGCGCACTCATTCTCAAGAAATTCACCGCCTGGTTCTTCTGGCGAATGGCATTTTCAGCGTGTATCCTCGCAACTTCCATGTTGCCCTTCTGAATGGCCTTTTTAATTTTGGCCTTTTCGGCCTTTTCCTCCTTGTCGCATTTTTTGGCACTCCTGCTCAGTTCTTTGGCCGCGAACTTTAGGTTGAACAGGTGTTTCTCCATGTTGGACATAGTCAGACGGCTCGTCGGAGTCAGCGGCCGAGGCCCAGAGGTACGCCGAAGGGAGGCAGAAGGAAGGTCCGCTCCCGGTTGCCGCTCCTTTGTTTTGGTTGCACTTCCTGTTTCTGCCGCGCGGCGCAGACGGTGACGTCAGAGCCCGGCGCCGGGAGGCGGGACCCGCGAGACGCACGGGCCCAGGGGCGGGGAGGGGCGGAAGGCGCCAGGGGATGTCCCGGAGCACCCGACTGGTCACGCTGACGTAGTCCGGGCTGATTACGGCGCTTGCTCTCTTCACTGAGTTCCGCCCAGTTTTTAAAGTATTTAAGCATTAGTAGACACAAAAATTCGTGTTCACACACGCTTTCTTAGGCATATATCTACTGAAACGTACAGGATGTGTCTAGATCTGCACCTAAAAATACCCAAACTCCAAACTTGGCAAACCTTAAGCTTTCTGGGCAGGGGGTTAAAAAACAGCAAACAGTCAACTAAGTCAGCAGACTAAAGCTTTCGTTATTTGCATGGGTAACTTCCATTTTCTTAGGGGAACCCGAAACTATGGATTGTTAATACATTAAAAAACAAAAGTTGTATCATTGTCCTACGTCTCAGTCTTTGACTACAATTTAGACGGGAGTCCTGTGATATCCTTTTATTTATTATTTCACCGATGAGTGAAAATGCCTTCAAAACCGTGGATCAGCACATTAATACCATGGCTGGAAGTTCAGCAACTATCACCCAAAAATCCTTCTGTGATTTAGTAATAAAAAACTCCATCAATTGCTGACATGATTCTATCCATTTGATGTTTTATAAATATCCAAGGAACTTCACTCACACTTAAGTTTGACATGCTAAATTGTCATTTTAAATTATGCTAGCAGAGAATGGTGAAGTATTGGGACGCACACCCACTTGCATATATCAAAACTGTCACTATGTATTATACCCTTTAAAAATGCGGGCTTTCAGATGGCAGCAATGTGTCCCGGAGCTTTTTTCTTTTAGATTCTTTAGATACAACAGTAAAATATAAGAAGACCTAGCCTGCCCTAATGAGATAGGTTGAAAATGATTACTAAGCGCTAATTCTGTTTAGAGATCATTTTAATCCAGAATCTTATCATCCCTTTGGGCCTCCTGTGATAACTAGTCAAGGGTCTTGAACCACAAAATTAAAGTTGTTCTGGTATCACATGAACTTTCCTAAATCGCAACTCTTATTACCTTACTCTGTTGTTCCAAAACCTGGGCAGAAAAGCTGAACTGCTCTATGGCAGAGTGGGTCCCCACGCTCCCTATTCTTTCTTTCTCCTTATATGCCAATTAAACCAGAACGAAGCTTGGAAGTTGAGCATCATTTGTGTCATTTGATCAGTGTGGAAAATGAGAATTGATGCTCTTCCCTCTATGTACACTGTCCCTGCTGCCTGGGCTTCCACTCCATTCGTCTTTGCCTATTGCCCCTCCACAAAAAACACCGCCATGAAGCCTCCCAGGACCCTCCTCCTCTGTGATGCCACTGTACTCTGCACCTCTGCCATAGCACACAGGGCAGACCTCCTGGCATGGAGTCTATGGAGACAAATCACTGAATTGTATTATGAATCAAGTGGAAGCAGAGAAGTCTTATCCCTTTTCTCTCATGTGCTTTGCACATAGTAGGTACTACATACAATAAGGCTTTGCTGAACTGAATTGTGGTTGGCAGAGGCTAGGACATTACCCTAGTTAGCAACTTAGCCAAGATTACTTTTCTCTCCCCTAAAGTAGAACTCTTTCTTCACATGTGACATTTCTAGAAACAGAATATTAAAAAAAAAAAAAACAATAAAGAGAAGAAATCTGTTTAAAGTGGGAGCTAGAGGGCCTGCGCCCCCTTCTCTCCTTACTCTCATCCTACCCTCTTTTTCTTTTGGGTCCCTGGCTTTCCTTGCACTTAGCAAACTAGTTCCTTAACCATGTTCTATAGTTTGCTTAATGACATTCAAATTCAGTGAGAGCATTTGCAATATAATTATTAGAAACTTTGATAGACAATGTGGATAATGACAACATTGATTAAGCAATGATGTGCCAGGCATTGTTCTGGGCACTTCATATGAATTAACTTATCTCATCTTCACAAACTTTATGAGATAGACACAATTAACACCTCACCTTATGGGTAAGGAAACTGAAGCTACGAGAGCAAAGCAACTGGCCTGTGACAACCCATCTGCGGAATGTTAGAAATAGGATTCCACAGATAGAGCGGGGACCAGTAATAAAACAGTGGGGAATACAATAAGTTAACAAGAATAAATCTATCTTTGGATTAAAAGAAGTCGATTTACCAGCTGTTCTGAGAAGTCTGAGAAGTTGCATTGACTGCAAGGTTAATATGACCTAAGTAAGGTTGTTAAGTCAACATCCACTGAAGCTACATTCATTGAATGATGGCAGATCTGCTCTTTAAGCTGGTCAGACAGTCTAGAGAATGAGGTGGAGTTCCAGGAGCTATATTTTCAGAGCAAATTAGAAGGCAGAGAAGAAGGCTACCCATCCTCCCTGAGCTAGGTACATTCCTTAGGCCTCCAGTCGTTTTCTTTCTTCCATAACATCCTTAGCCATCCCCACTGTGTTCCATGTGATCTATACCAATGACTCTCACTTTTACATTTCTAGACCAAGTTTTCTTCTGAGCTCCAATATACCCAACCATCTCCTGACACTAGAAAATTCAGGGCGCAAGACCATTTGGCAGCTCCTCCAATTTACTGAACATCCAGTCCTTCCCCACAAATCTGCTAACCCTTACTTGCTAAATGGCACCTCCATTCACCTTGTTTTTCAAGTCAGACTCAGGAATAGTCCTGGATGACCCCCTTCTCTATAGCTATATCCTCTCTCCAAGTTTCCCCATTATTTACATTCCATTGAGGGTGAAAACCTTCAGGGTCTGTTCAAATTAGTATGCTTTCTTTTCATGTATCTAGTCAACGGGAGATTACTTTGGGTTTCTGAAAGATTATCAAAGGAGACTTTGGTCCTTCAACAATGCTGGTTGCTCATGAGAACCTTCTGGATACAATTCATGCTATAAAAAAGAATACACAGTCTACAGTCACTGGAACAGTCAGAACTTCTACAGTAACACTGCCGCCTTCTGACACTCATAGCCAAAGTAGAAAGTTTAATTTAGGGACTGTAAGAAAATTTTGAATAGCATGCAGACATTTCTAGAAAGCCAGGAATCAAAATCAAACCAGTTAATTATTATTTTTATTTTTTGATACCATTTTCAACAGGGATACTGGCAAAAACTATAATATCCACTTTTAGAAAGAAATGGGCAATGTCATATACTGTTAGAGTGCAAATTATATAGCTTTGAATGAGTTAATTATTTTTATCCTAAAACAGGGAAAAATTTGCTATAATTTGGCACATATGGCCTATTTCTTTTCTCTCCTTTGAACCAATACAAAAGATTAAACTTGAGATATTTAAGCAGGATCCGTGGCTTGATTTCACTGAAAAAGAATCATCTGCTAAATCTAAAAACACTAAAATAAAAAGGAAAGAAATGGATGTGAAAAATAATGTTATCATGTGTGTTAAAATATTCCTGGATTCTCATAGGTAGGTTTCTAGTGGTATCGAAATGTTGTACCTTGAATTCCTTTTCTAAACTTCTCCTCACTTACCACAAGTTGTACCTATGTGTATATTTATGTTGATTTGTTCAGTAGCAGTTTGTCTTTTAGATCTTTTTATAGTGACATTTTGGTTCACAACCTTGCACCTAGTACCAGTCAATCTCTGGGACACATAGATGCTCAATAAATTCCTACTGAAGGTATAAATGCAGTCAAAGGAAATGGGTTTGGATATGTATATCTCTACTTGGTGACCTTTCAAAAAATATATTACATATATTACTGGGTATATTATATATATATTTTCTCTATATCACCTTTTTACTTAGGAATGCAGCTATAATTTACTTAGGAATGCAGTTATAATTTAAAACAATGAGACTTCTCAAATCTTGGGAAATTGCAAAGTCATTGTCCCTCAGATTATATTAATATGTCAAGATTTAGAAAGGAAAATGAGAAAGAGAAGGAAACGGAGAAGCAGCACGTGAGGAGAGGTCTGCACTGTTCCATGTAAGGGTTGGTAAGTATCTGGGTTATTAGTCCTCATGGTGGTGGCAAGAGTGGATATTGTTAGGCCAATCCTACCTTCCTTATGTCCTGATGGTCTAATTGGGCATCTACTACGGTACTGACATAAGAATTCTGTTGCTCCTTCTCTGCACTGAACAACCTACCCATTTGATGGTAGGCTGAAATTAAATCTAAATACCCCTAGACAGTCCAGGATTTCTTTTGGTGCTGAATTAAGTAATGACCACCTTGGCCTACTTGTTCACAGCAGGGGGCTCCACAGTCCTTCCCAGTCCTCCTTGCCTTAAAGAACAATCTGGATTTAGAAAAATCAATGGAAGTAATTATTATTTTTTTAAAAATGGTCTCTAAACATTAATTTTCCAGTTTGGTTTTGTTAAAAAAGAACTCCAGATTCTCTTTAGTTCACTCTTATTTTAAGATGATTTTGATTTTTTGTCTTTCCCAACAAAGGAAGCAGCACCAAAGCAGCAGGGAGAGGCACGCAGTGTGGCCTGCTGTGGTGTCAGGCCGGAGCTCTGGTCTGTCCTGGGCAAAGCTGCGTGATTACTTGTGTGACCCAGACTGGGCCAGCTCTTTTCTTAGGTCTCAGTTTCTTCATTTATAACAATGGAAAAGGAGGGCCTATAATCTACTAGTCTGGTGATAATGCCTTTATTAGGTTTTAGCATCAGAGGAGGCTGTTCAAAACCATTAAATTAAAAACAAACAAACAAACAAAAAAGCCCTGAAACAATCTATATAGATTCATTATAAAGTTTACTAAGAGAAAAAAATGTATTATTTAAATTGCCTTTTTTCCCCAGCAGTTTGTAATGGACGTTTGCAAATCTCATGGGGGAACATGTAGAGTAGATTCAGCAAAACAGGGAAAGCAGACTGTGTGTATTTCTATATTATTACTAGTGGCCAGCACATATTACTCCTCCATTTACAGAATATTTTGCAGTAAGAAAATC